TATTAAAAACTTTTACACACTTCACTTGAAACTTTTTTCTGCTTGTCAAGTCAAAATATTTCTTGATTTAACAACAATATCACATTACTTTTAATTCCTTCTGTTTACAACTTTCTATCTTCCTCTAGATAGTTTTATTACTTCAATGAGGTGTTACAACAGCCTTTATTATTTCATTGTTGATTGCTTCATGATGCCTTCAATTTGTTAGATAAATATTTTTTAATATTTTACAAAAGACAAGTGATTTTTCTTTCATGTTTTGATTAAACAAATTTCTGATTATACTGAAGCCCCTCTCAACTAATGCCTGACCATGACCAATGTAAAAATGAGTATCAAGACTTTAGACAAAACCTTGTTTTTCATAACTTTGATGGTTTTAAAATCGGTCTAAACAATTTCCAGTGTTTTTTTTGTGAAACAGATTTTATCTGTAGAAGAAGATCAGCTTTTTTCAAATTTTAAAAAATTCAAATAACTATAAGCAAACAACCTTTCATGGATTTATTGATCAAATTTTAATAAAACACACTTTTTCTCTTTTAATTCCATAATTCTACATTCTAAAGCAAATCCAATTGAAATGGATTTTAACAGTAGAAACTTTTGTTTATGCAAAATCAAATTGCAAAAGTTGTCTCCAATTGATGATTAGCATAAAACATATTAAGGTCAGGTCAGGTTTTCCTGCTACTGGTAACATGTAACCCAGTACAACCTGCTCCATGTCCTGCTGCCTTGTAGGATACGCTTTTTTAGGCAAAGGCTAGGAGAAGTTAACTCCGAATTAAAACACCCCCTGCCTTGGGGCTCTTGGTTCAGTAAAGGCTAGAGATGGTGTCTCGATAAAAATACTCATCTTGGGCAGATGTTACATGCATCCAGCTGCTGTCTTGTAGAAGGCCTCCTAGGCAAAGACTTAAGGGGTAAACAGATTCTACCTGTTGACCAGCCTCACACCCCTTCTCCATCTATTAGGCTGGCGCAGATGTATTTTTAATACATTGTTTCCAGTTTAGGATGCTGAACGCTGGATCTTCTTGACTCAATGCGTGGGTATTGCTTGTGTCTCTATTTTTATGACTGGGCAACTCATTCTATTATCTCCTAATAAGGGTACAGCTCTAAAACTCAGTTTTATGGTTCTGAGGCCGGCTGGTAGTCAGGTTTCCCGAACTCTGTGGTAGCTCTCAGAGAGGCTGATTCCATCAACAGCCGAAAAATATCAGAGTACTAACAGTGCCATGTTGCGCATGGATGGTGTCCCTGTTTGTACTTTTGGTGTGCATTGCAGAGGCCACATTTGGAGCCCTTTGTTACGGCTTAGGGTTTATTAATAGTAATGAGGCTATTGCTTAGTTGTTAAATAGTGTACTGAGTACTATCTATACTTGAGTCAAGTTCTTTATAAATTTAAAATGACTAAAGTACCTAAAACTAAAAAACACAAAAAACCATCGTCATCACCAAGTTCTCTAAACCTATCATTTACTAATATTCGTGGTCTTCGAAGTAACTTTTCTTCTGTTGAGTCTGGCGTTAAGGCCCTCAACTTTTGCCTTTCTCAATCTCTAACTCAAATAGTCAACTTTCCAACTCGTTTTCCAGACAACCCTAATCATTTACCTTCTCTACTCGACTTATGTCTTGTTTTGGATCCTAGTCAGTGCTCAATTTCTCCACATTCACCCTTAGGTACTTCTGATCACGGTTTGATCTCTCTAAAACTATTATCAAATTCTTCTACTTCATCAGAATCCCCCTATCATCGTACCACATACAACTACCTTAAAGCTGACTGGGACTCTTTCCGTGATTTTCTTCGTGATGGCCCTTGGGTAGAAATCTTTCATCTTCCTGCTGACAAATGTGCTTCTTACATAACTTCGTGGATTCAGGCTGGCATGGAATCCTTTATTCCCTCTCGACGATTCCAGGTCAAACCTCACTCTTCTCCATGGTTTTCCTCACATTGCGCTGCAGCAATTTCTAATCGAAATCGTTACTTCCATATCTATCAGCAAAACAATTCTCCAGAAAACAGACATCTGTTCACTATCGCCAGAAACCATTGTAAAAAGGTTTTGTCTGACGCCAAAGCTCGCTATTCCCAGGTCATTAAATCTCGTATCTCATCACAAAAATTAGGCTCTCGAGACTTCTGGAGAATCTTTAACAGTATCAATAATAAGGGCAAATCTGTTATTCCTTCTCTCTTGTATGGTTCAGACTTTGTCACCTCACCTAAAGACAAAGCTGAATTGTTTGCTAAGAACTTTTCATCAATATCATCTCTTGATTCCACTAGTTGCGTTTTACCTGACATAGCCGTCAAACAGGTTGATCCCTTGCTTGACATTCGCATCACTTCAGCTTCTGTATCTAAAGTAATTTCCTGCTTAGACTCTTCAACAGCTTGTGGTCCTGACAACATTCCTGTTGTAGTCTTGCAGAGGTGTTCTCCGGAGCTTTCATCCATACTTTCTAAACTATTTAACAAGTGCTTATCAGAGTCTTGTTTTCCATCATGCTGGAAAGCAGCATCTGTTATCCCTATTTTCAAAAATTCCGGAGAGCGATCTGATTCATCTAACTACCGTCCCATTAGTCTTCTTCCTGTCATAAGCAAGGTTTTTGAATCTTTAATCAACAAACACTTGATCTCTCATCTTGAATCAAATAACTTACTTTCTGATCATCAATATGGATTTCGGTCTTCTCGTTCTACAGCTGATGTGCTAACAGTAATAACCGATAGGTTTTACCGTGCATTAGATAGAGGTGGAGAGGTTAAGGCTATCGCACTTGACATTTCTAAAGCTTTTGATAAAGTTTGGCATGCTGGTCTTCTCCATAAGCTTTCTTCTTATGGTGTAGCTGGTAACGTCTTTAAGATTGTTGAGTCCTTTCTTTCCAATCGTAGTATAAAAGTTGTCCTCGATGGACAACACTCTTCTTCACATCCTGTAACTTCAGGAGTTCCTCAAGGTTCAATCCTTGGCCCTATACTCTTTTTAATTTACATTAACGATCTTCCAGATATTCTCACATCTAAGGTGGCATTATTCGCTGACGACACTACCATTTACTCTTGTCATGATAAGAAGCCTACACTCTCTGATTGCTTGGAGGGGGTATCTGAGCTTGAAAAGGATCTCACTTCTGCTACAGCATGGGGCTCACAGTGGCTGGTGAACTTTAATTCAGATAAAACTCAATTTTATTCGGCCAATCGTTATCGTAATAATTTAGATCTTCCTATATTTATGAATGGTAATGTACTAGATGAGTCATCTACCATTCATCTTCTAGGATTAACTCTTACTTCTGATCTTTCTTTTAAACCGTATATCAAATCCATTGCAAAATTAGCATCTGCTAAGGTTGCATCTCTTTATCGAGCTCGACACTTTCTTACTCCAGATTCTATTCTCTATCTCTATAAATCTCAAATCCGTCCCTGTATGGAATACTGTTGCCACATCTGGGGCGGATCTTCTAATGATGCTCTTTCTCTTTTAGACAAGGTGCAAAAACGAATTGTAAACATAGTTGGACCTGCTCTGGCAGCCAATCTCCAACCTTTGTCACATCGTCGTAATGTTGCTTCTCTTTCTCTTTTCTACAAATACTATAATGGGCACTGCTCTAAAGAGCTAGCGTCCCTTGTACCATCTACTAAAATTCATTCTCGTGTTACTCGCCATTCAATTAAGTCTCATCCTTTTTCTGTGACTGTTCCTAAGTGCTTCAAAAACTCTTATTCTTCTAGTTTTTTTCCTCGAACATCAGTTCTTTGGAACTCGCTTCCTTCATCTTGCTTTCCAGATTCATATAATTTGCAATCTTTTAAGTCATCAGTCAATCGTTATCTTGCTCTACAGATTTAGTCTTTTCTCTTCCAGTAACTTCCAACTCTTATAGTGGTTGCTTGCAGCCTTGTTGGAAGTGAAGATGTTAAAAAAAAAAAAAAAAAAAAAAAAAAAAATATTATTTGATTATTAAACTCGTTAAGCTTCGAGCAGTTGAAAACAAATCTTTAAAGAGTTGAAATCATCTGGGTGTTTGGAATCATCTAGGAGTCACTATTTTTTTGCAACAAACAAGATTGGAACAAACTAGCGATGTAACCAAAGAAGTTCAATTTAGTCAAAGTTAGTTCAATGACAGTTACAAAATCACCTCTTTTGGCATGAGAACCATAAGAAAGATTGCATTAAGGTTTCATGAACTTCTTTGATTGAAAATCAGTTTTAAAAGCATCATGGATTTCATGGAGAGTGCAACTCTTAATTTTAAGAAGTTTAGGTTTTTCTCATTACTCACACTGCTTTTTAATAAAATCAAATTTTATCAGCTTGATCTAATGTTAAAACTTGCTTTTTAGATGTAGACTGTACAGTTTTGAAGTAGCAGTATACTGGTTTTGACTTCTGAACATGATTTTTACCCTCTATGTGACTTGTCACAGCTCTCTAATGTGCCAAGTTTAATTTAAAAAAAATTTATTTTTGTTTATTCTTAAAAAAGAGAATAAAAATACAATATGGTTTTAAAAATACTTTGAAACAAAAAACACCAAATAGATTAATTTAAATTGGTAATAAAAGTTCTACTTAAGCCTATATAAAATGTTTAGCATAAATTATTTTTGTTTGGTAATGCTGATTTTGATTGGTAATTTGCTGATTGTATATATACATATAAACTTTTTGTTTGGTTTATATTGTGACTAGAATGACTAGAATAAAACTTTTTTTTTCATAATGATAATTTGGACAATCTTTTGAGCTATTATTTAATTAGTAACTTAAAAGAGGATTAATATTTTAATATAAAACATTTTAAAATATTAAAATAAAAGAGTACAAATTTAAAATGATTCTCCCTGACTTTTATCAGCATTCCTGATCATATCTAAATTTCCCTGTTTATCCCTAAATTCCTTGATTTGGCGGCAACCCTGCATAGCATTCTTTAAACTATAAAAAACATACTTTCTGTGACTTGAATCAAGAATTCCTATTTCCAATAAATCTTGTTCGTCAATACAACCATTCTAAAAATTTGAACCAATACTAAAAAAATTGTAGTTCTCTCTCTCTATTTCTCTTTATATACATACATACATACATACATACATACATACATACATACATACATACATACATACATACATACATACATACATACATACATACATACATACATACATACATACATACATACATACATACATACATACGTACGTACATACATACATACATACATACATACATACATACATACATACATACATACATACATACATACATACATACATACATACATACATACATACATACATACATACATACATACATACATACATATATATATATATATATATATATATATATATATATATGTATATATATATATATATATATATATATATATATGTATATATATATATATATATATATATATATATATATATATATATATATATATATATATATATATATATATATATATATATATATATATGTATACATATATATATATATATATATATATATATATATATATATATATATATATATATATATATATATATATATATATATATATATATATATATATATATATATATGTATATACTTTTATTTAAAAATAAATTTTAAAAATAAAGAATACCAAAAATTCTATCTCATCAAACCCATTAGCAATAAACATTGGCTCATATTGAGAAAAACTCATTGATGCCAACCAAGAAAAAATACTTTCAACTGATACCTCTGATATAGGTTTTACTAAACAAATAAAAATAATATTCATCACAAACAAAAAAATATATATTTTGAACTTGAACAATGTGTTCTTATCATGCTAATAACTTGGAAATATTTGTACTCAAAGATTTTTAAATATTCATGGAGAATACAGTTAAAAATAAAAATAAAATTACATCATGTCAAAATTTACATTAAAAAAAGGCTTGCAATAAAGTTGTCTAAGAAGAACGTTTGCAATTAAGACGCGAAGTAGGTACAGTAAGGTAGGTAAACTAAGACGTGAAGTAGATACAGTAAGGTAGGTAAATTAAGACGTGAAGTAGGAATACAGTTTGTAAAGAAGAAATTCAGGTCAAGAAAAAGCTTGTTTGAATTTGAAAAGCATAGAAACATAAATTGACGAAGTCATAATAATACTAACAATTTTTTCAAACAACTTTTTCCACACACATCATCTTTAGTTTGTGATTTGTTTTTTAGTTTTACTAAAATCCCTGAAAATAATTTATTATTAATTTCTAAACATTTATTTGGCAA